TTTTTTTCTTCGATTCATACAACTTATTCTTGTAAGGCTAAAGCTTTCTGCTACACATTTCAGTCTATGCAAGGATGATAATGTAGATACAATGACTGTCATACAGGTCTCAGCTGTGTCGTGGTCTGAACTCTTGAGTGATAGTCAGTTCACAAGCATTAACAGAAGCTTTCTACTTCAATTTTGCAGGTTCTATTCCTTCACAAATTCAGTGGCTTTATGGTGTTGGATTCTGCTATTATTATTTCTGTCTCCTACTTCACGGCTGCTGCAAGCATGATCTATCTCCAACACTTAACTCTAGGCTTTCAGGAGCCATTGGTTGATCTGAAATATCTAGGAGTTCTGTTGTTTCTGCTTGGAATTTGTGGCAACTTTTATCATCACTATCTTCTTTCCAAGCTCAGGGAGAAGAATGAAAAGGGGTACAAAATTCCGAGAGGTGGTCTTTTCAGCATGGTCATATGCCCTCACTATCTTTTTGAAACTATTATTTTTCTAGGAATTTCCTTAATCTCCCAAACACCATTTTCATATTCAACTGCTCTTGGCGTGGCTTTATATTTAGCTGCAAGGAGTTATGCCACCAGAAAATGGTATCTTTCCAAGTTTGAAAATTTTCCGAAGAATGTCAAGGCTTTGGTTCCATATGTTTTCTAGATTTGGAGCGGAGGTTGGATGGATTGAAGCATGTAAATCAAATTTCAAAATAAACCTTGATGAAAGGTAGCAAACTCTACCACTTTTTTGGAGGAATTTTAGGAGTGATGTTGTGAAGTATATGCATTATTGTCATACTTCATTGTTTCTATTAAGTAAAATTACTTGACTCTCACCATAGTAATTTTTAGCAGGCTTTTGACTAGATATATGTTTGAGTTCTGTAATGATCTGAGCCATTAATAGTTCTGTGTTTAACTTGTTTAAATATTGCTCATTTATTTAGAACATCAGCTTAAACAAGAATTCAGGCCTTTGTTTACATTATTAGTAAGCAGATTATAAGCTAGGCAGAATCGACATAGAACAGCATTTATGATTCGTGCTCTCTTTTAGAAAGTCCTCCTTAATGTTGTTATCTGCTTCGGATTGCTTAATCCATGGTGAGGAGTATGAAGAATGTGATGATCAAGAAGAAATCGAACTTGATGTGTGGACCTTTGCTGCAATCTTGATCATTTTCTATTGCTGCCGGGGAAGGATGAAAAAAAGTTCTCCTGTCTCTGAAACAATTTTAGAAAAGGATTATCCTAGTCACTTGCCCCATTCTTTAGTGATTGTGACTTATGACCACAGTAAATAAACTTACTCTGTACCATTGGATGTATTACCGAAAACTGTCATAAGATAATGGCAATAGCTCTTTCCCTATTGATGGAAGAGAGCTTGGTTGCATCTTGACATAGTGCCTTGTAGTAGTGTGAATGAACCTCGTACAGTCCATCTTCCCAAGTGAAAATTTTCCTTCCAGTAGAAAGAGATCAAGGCATGCTTACAAGATTTCCTGTTTTTGAAACAAAATCCAATATGGGTATTCCCTCGAATCGAGGGGGAATTTCAGCTGAGCAATGCAACTTTAGTTGTCACTGAAGCTTCCTTGTTCCTTGAGTTTGCGCCGTCTGAATACCAAACCTTAGTGCTAGTTCAATTCGTAAATTACGTGAGAGGCTTTCATAGAAAAGACCCACTAACTTGTTTCACTTTCTTAATTGTCATCACTATATGCCATGCGTCTATTCTGTTTATCGTTTTTGGTTTTGGTTTGCTTACCGTTAGCCAAGACAACGATTTTTAGCCAATTCGTAGATCTCTCTCTCTCTCTCTCTCTAAATAAGATTCTCAAATTGTCTCCTAGATCATCACAAGTCACTCCTACAGAAGTGTGAATTGAAATATTATTCAAATGAGATTTATTCTCGGTCTGACTTTTGAATTCATCCTGTAACATAAAAATTCATAATTTCTGAACAGGTTTCTATATTTCATAAAATTACGGCATGGGTGTGTGTTTTGTGTTGTATGTCACCAGGTTCGTCTAAAATGACTGTTTTGATCAAATCCGTGTAAGTAGTTATTGTTGCGACCATACCTATGTTATATGTAAATTGTCTATGACCAAATCTATCTCCATTGTGATAGTCCGTGATCAAATATGTCGTAACACGACCATTGACCAAGTATGTGTTAACAACGACGTGTAAACATACATCTATTAACAATAAATGTTTGTGGCAAAACATGTTCACATTTAATAAGGTTTGTGACCATTTATTTGTTAATCGTGACTAATTAAATGTTAGGTATTAATTAATTTAAATATATAATATTCTTAATTAAAATGTATTGATACCTGATTTATGTAAAGAAATCTTTAAGTCCAAATTTTTGAAGCGTAAAGTTTTTAGGTAAGGTTTTGCTAAATTTTCTCTTTTAAGAAATTAATGTTGCTTACGACCCATATATTTACCTATCGGATGCCTCCTTGCTTGTTGAAACCGTGCGTGTGATTCGTGCAAATTGGAAGAAAACGTGGCTGTGTGCAATAAAGAGATAACAGTGACCTTGCTTTGTGCTCGAGTGAAAATCAGTGGCTGCCTTTCTTCTTCCCTTTCTTGCCTTGTTTTCATTGCTTTCTTCCTGCCTTTGTGGCTGTAAATCAACACCATTTTCTTATATTTTATGGGTGAGATTGAGAAGCAATCGCGGTGAATATATTGGTTTTGTTTTGAGCAGATTTAAATTGGTTGTTGATAGAGAAAGATAACGTGAAATTGAGCCGAAAATTGCTGAATTGAAGATCTTGAAGAGAGCTTCCACAACATTTTATTAACACTTGAAATAGACCACAATTCCTAGCAATGTAGAAAGGATTAATCTATTTGTACATGGTGGTTTATATTTTGGTTCACACGGCCCCACCCGACCTCTCACATGGGAGAGGTCGGGTTCCACACCCAAATGTGTGGAGCCGACCTCCTCATGTGAGAGGAGTGGTGGGGTCGTGTCAACCAAAATGTAAGTCACCATGTACAAATAGCAAGGTCCATGTAGAAATAGATCACAATTTTTGGTACCGCCTAGCAATTCCATTGCTATGAAATTCCTTTTGAAACTTCTAGAAAATATTGTAGGTGCACAAACTGTTACATGTTAAAATAATTATAGTCACATAGACTCCACGTTAGCTACAGAAGGACTCCACTGTATGCCTATGTGGCACAAAATAGATATTTATACATCGACCTTCGAAACGTGACAAACCAAAAATGCACCCTGGCCACTGATCTCTCCTTATTAAAAGGAACGTTGACCCTCTATGACTTGAACAATAGGTAATTGAAAGCCTCATTGAAAAAATAGAATTAGAGGTCCTATCTCAATCTCGAACATAGATGTCATTGAAGTGCGAACCTTGACACAATCAAATTAATATGAGCATCAGTACAAGACAATCGGACGTACACATAACGAGTTGCGTGACAAGTATCACTGAAGTATAAACCTTAATAAAGCTATTGAAATTGGACTTAATCATCACTTCCAACATAATGATTAGAGAATGTCAAACTTATGAAAATAACTAAAAAGTCCATAACAATTGTCCATAAATCGGGTCGTTTGCACAACTAATAAAGGATTAAAATATAAAAAGTTGAGAAATCTAAATATTCAATTTTTCACTATCTAAAAAATGTCTCAAATCAAGGCAAAACTTACACTCTTGGTAACCTTAACATTCTTCAATTGTATTGTCTTTCCCGATCAAATAATATCGAAAACAACTTCTTTCTTTCTACCAAGAACTAACCAAAAACACACAAAAATTCCCCGAAAGTGGAAAAACCTAACAAATTATGGCAGGGAACTCTACAGTCAGAGCCGGTCCTGTATCTAATGGGCCCTGAGGCGAAATATGAAAAGTAGGCCCCCCTGTGACAAAATTCAAAAGTGTATTATGCGACTCATTGCTAACTTAAAAAACTAACATTAAAACAACAACGAAATATATTATAAAAA